ATATTTAAAATGTACTATAGTTTAATGCTGCTTTGAAGAGCCAAAAAAAACAGAAAGAAAGGTACTGAAACTTGTTCTGTCCTGTAGTTGAAATACATGTTACTTGCTCCAACTGCTTGAGCAAGGGCTTCCACAGTAAAGAGAAAAAAAAAATCATCTGAAGCAGAAAGGTCTCAGTAGATAATCATACAGGTAAAGTTCACTATTTTTTTTTAAATGTAGGTATAAAATATAAAACTCACTGACGATTACATCAAGAAATATTAGAAACTCATCAAGGTAAGTTAATGAGCATGTAAAAAATAAATAAATACAGGAAGAAATTTAGTATACTAGTAAGTCTTACCGGGTAATAATGCCCCATGAGTTTCCCGCTTTTAAAAAAAATCAAAAAAAGACTGGTCTATATAAAATGTTCTTTCTCATTAAGAGAGAAAATTACAAAAACTTTTTTGGCCAAAATAATAATTGAAGGAAGCAGTCTATTCAGCACTGTAAGAACTTCAACAAAAAAAAGAGTTAAATTCAGACTAAATTCCCTTTGTGAGTTAACTCTTACACAGCTTCCCTGTCTCCTCATATACATCTTGATGATTTTATTAAAATTTTAAAAAATGAGCTAAAGAGGAAATGAGGCAATTCACATAACAATTTCCTGTCACCTGTTACAAGCTATTTGGTGTTTTTCATTTAAAGAAATAAAAACATAATGGCAGATACCATTAGTTTAAAAGGCTATACAAGACCTAAAAATAAAATCAGCTCACTAACTGGTTAATAGACACATCTATTAATATAATGAAATGTCTCAAAATTTATAAAAAGAATGAAGAAACTCTTCATGTACTAATAACAAACTAATTCATGAGCCATATTAAGTCGGGGGGGAAGCATGATACAGGATAGTGTGTGTACAGTATGCTATCATTTGTATAAGGGGGGAGAATACATACATATTTGCTTGTGCACGGATAAAGTACCTCTGAAAAGACAAAAAATTAGTAATACTTGGTGACAGAGTGAGGGAATGCAGGACATTTTGCTATATTATTTAGTTTCAAATAATGGACCATCTGAATGAATTATTCAAAAAACAATTGAAAATATAAAAAATACACTCCTTTTTATTTCATCAAAGGTGATCTCTTTGCTTTGATTGCTCTCTATGACATATATTCTGCATTATTAATCACTGTGTCCCCAACAGTTTCTTGGGGGCAGAGATAAGACAATTTAATTCATCTCTGGATTTGCTGTAGCTTCTGACTCAGTATATTAAATATAGT